ATTTTCTTGCATTGCCGAGAAATCTCCAATGGTCTTATTTTCCCCAATTGTGAGATCATCTACATATTTGCAAACCTTTACTTGATTGTTATTTGTATTTAAAAGAGCATCATTAATCAAAGCTAAAATAGCAATGGGACCAATAATAGTACCTTGAGGTACCCTACCATTTAGTTCAATCCAATCGGAAAAAGTATTATTATATTTAACCCTTTGTTTTCTTTTGGAAAGGAAGTCCACCACCCACTGACTAGTGACGGAGGCGCACCTAGTTCGAGTAATTTTGAGACAGTGATTTTGTGGTCAACTAACTCGAAAGCTATCAAAAAATCGGTTAGCACAAGTGTGCTAACATTTTTCGGTTTTTCGGCACCCGAAATCAAATGATGATACATATCAATACTGTGGTTGGTGGATAAGCCTTTGCGGTTCCCAAATTGTTTATGATCAATCTGTGAATTAATTGCATCATGGAGGTATAAAAAAGAAGGAGATATAACCAACTTAATTGGATTTGCTAAGCTAAGACCTAATGACCTTTCTCCAACGCTGATTGGCTTACCACTAAAAGGTTCAAAAAGCCCGCTATCTTGTTACCGCAGCGGGACGTCCGCTTTCATCCATATCATCGCAGCCGCTTGTTTCGTAAATTTCTAGTCTTATTGCAAGGCCGCTTAGCAACGCAGTCGCCCTGAACATGTATTTTTAACTATTTTTAGTGTATTACAGCCTCTAGAGGGCTTCTAGAGTTCAAAGGTTCGTTCCAATCGGAAGATATTTTATTTTGGAAGTGATCGTGAAAACTTCGAAGAAAATCGAGCAATTTTCAGTCAATTAACCCAAAGTTCAGGTATTTATGGATGTTATGATATATCTCAGCTTCCTGAAAAGCTCGGAAGATGATTCTGTTTTTAAATTATTGTTTAATAATCCACCTTTCAACATGTAATAATCACGATGTTGTACACACGTGTACATTTTATATACAAGCATAGCAACCTCGGCGGGTTTTTACCGTGCGACCGACCCGACTTGATTACAGTGTAGAGTGTTACGTAACGAAGTCTAGGCCTGGAGTAATTTAATCATGACTGATGGGCCTAGGCAGAATATGTTAGGCCTAACCATGCCCTAAATAAATATAAAGATTCATATTCTAAGCTGTCTACATATTCTTTTATTACTATACATGCATATATTTAATATTATTTATAGTATTAATATTTTTATTAATTATATTAGGCCTAGCCTAGGCCCTAAATAAGCAAATGGGTATGATGTTGCTACAGAAGGGCCTGGTTAGGCTCTTTCCATGATGTTGGTATCTTAATAAAATGGTTTTTTTTGTTTTTGTTTTTGTTTTTTTTTCAAAACTTTAGGCCTAGGTTAGCTAGACTTACTTAGGCTAGTTTTATTTACTATGCTATGTATCAAACCTATTTATCAGGGCTAGCTAATCCTTCTACCTAGGGCCTAGGCCCCTGGTTCCTAATAGGCGGCCCGCAGGCCAAATTTGAGATAATTTAATCTGGCCCGCGAGAAAAATATTATATAATACCGTACATTTTTTTATAATTAAAATATAATTAATAATATGATAAATCACATAAAATGACCAAAATTTAAACCCCGAGCCTTTATACATATATATATATATATATATATATATATAATATATGTATATATATATGTATTGTGAAACAGTGCTCAATCCCACTGAAAAATCTATCTCTTATACACATCTAGATGTGTATAAGAGACAGATTATGCACTTGTCAATTGTAGTCCAAACTTCCATGGAAACTGCTAAGTGATACGCACGCGTAGTGCTTCCATCAAGGAACCTCATCTCCTTGGCCTAGCTCTCACGTTGCTTCTCCGATTCAGACCTACTGTAGGCTAAACCTTCAAGTAGGTTTTATCCTCCAATCATTTATTAGCGAGGCATTTTCCCAGGACTACGGCGGTGTGGCGGGGACTTAGCCGGGGATGTACATTAAAACGATGCTCCGCATTGCTAGGAGGTGGCCGGGACTCTCACATGCATGTAACCATTTTGGAAATTACATCCCCTGCTAAGTCCCCGCAAGGCCCAAAATGAGGATAAAAATAGGCCAGCAAAAACTTGCCAACTTTCAATCCTCCGTGTTTTTACAAATACTCAAGTTTATGAAGTCATTATATATAGAGAGAGAGAGAGCTTCTCTAAAAAAAATTTGGACTGCCAAAGAAATTAATTAAGAACCAGTGGCCTAGGCCCTAATTTTTTAGTATACAATACCCAAAATCTAGTCATCTTTAAGTTCCTATATTTCAAAATATTTTTACTATATTGAATGGCATTAATATAAATTTAAATACATTTATTTTGTTATATACGTACTGTACATGGCATGACTCGAACGAACAACATATCAGCATAAGTGTGGTCAAGGGAAGGTTTGAAGATAATAAATTTGAAGTAATGTATCATTTTTATATTGCAGAATCTGAACAAAATGGAGAGACACAAATGTTGTCTTCAGGATCGTTGTAGGTTATGTGGGAACAAGCGTACAGTAAACCTCCACCGACTCAAACCCAAATGGAATTATGCTAGAGACATAAATCTTTCATTGAGTGTTGATGTGTCAAAAGATGTTGAAGGTGTTCATCCAAATTTCATCTGTGATTGCTGCAAGATGAAGTTACACCGTTGGCGTAATTTTCGCAACAAGAATAAAGAAAAAGGTATAGCGATAACGGTGATGGATTTTGTTGCACATTCGGATGACAGTTGTAGCATATGTGAGAGTACCGGGGGACCAGTTATTAACCTGCATAAATTGATGAATGTTGGCAAGGAACTTGGTTTCCTTGTACAAGCCAATAATGACAAAGCCACATTTATAAGAATAGTAAATGACATGCCAGTTATCCGTTTACATATCTACAGCAAATGCACATGGAATTTGAATGTATTTCTGTCTGATGCAACCAACAAGTGTGCTGAATTTGCAGAGTTCCTCACTGATGAAAAGGCTGTGTTTTTACTTGAGTGGTTGAGTGGTATTTCAATTTGTTGTGGCAATTCTGAATTTGAAAGTCTTTGCCGTAAGGAGTCTCCGTCAAATCTTGCAGTGTTTTGTAATAATTCTGGAGTTGCAGTTGCAAAAGAAGTAGTGATAAATGGAGAATCAACAATAAGGCATGTTAACTGTCAACTGTTTGTCAGCGATATCGGTGGCCGTTGCCAAGTGTGCAAAATGCACAGAACTACACTGATGTCCAAAAAGTCAAAACTTGCAAGTATGCAAACGGTTGTAAACACTAATTCGCATGCTAGAAATGACAGAATGAGTTGCGGTCAGCTCAGGCAGAAGTTGGCTTTGATGTCAAATGAGAAGAAGACTCTACAGAAGAGAGTGAATAGCCTGCAAGATCTTGTCACCAAGTCATTTCATGACAATGGCATTAGGTTGCAGGAGACAATGTGCGAGTCTTTAGAAACAATTATGAGAGACAATACGAAGACAGCAAATGAAGAGTTTAAAGAGGGTACACCACAGAGGCTTCTGTGGGAACAGCAAGTTGCCGCAAATAAAGTAGCAAAAACACATCGCCGTTGGCACCCAGCTATTATCCGATTTTGTCTTGCACTGCATTTGAAATCAACTGCGGCATATCGGATGGTAAGGAATTCTGGGTACCTGATTTTGCCTCACGAAAACACTGCGAGACTATACACAATTTACAGATACAATGTCTGGATTTAATCCAGACATAATTAACCGTATAAAGCATGACATTCATTTTGACAACTTGCCCGACTTCAGAAAAATTGTCACTTTAAGTTTAGATGAAATGAAAATCAAGTCAGGCCTTGTTTATTCAAAGAAATCGGGAAACCTTGTGGGATTCTGTGATACAGGATCTATGTGCGAGGCAATGAACAGCTTTGCCAGTAAGTTGGATGACGTTGACCAGGAGCCCCAGATGGCATCTCATATGCTGTCATTAATGGTTCGAGGCATGTTTTTGCCATTGCATGAGACATTTGCACACTTCCCTACTCATGGTTGCAGAAGATACCAATTATACTGGATAGTATGGGAGGCTGTGGCATGGCTGGAACTTGCAGGTTTTCGAGTCTGTTCCTTTGTTTGTGATGGCGCAAGCTCTAATCGTAAGTTCTATCGGCAACATGGAGATCGTGGGTTGGAATTTGTATCAGAGACCATTAATCCATACTCTGAAAAGGCACTGTATTTTATATGCGATGCGCCACACCTGATGAAAACAACAAGAAATAACCTGGAAAACTCTGGATTCAACTCAAAATCGAGAAACTTGCATGTAAGTTGTACTGTATGTATTCACGTGGAGGTGTAGGTGCCTCTATGGTATACATGGAAAAAATAATTGCTAATTTCACTTTGCGACTCATAAAAATATTATTTTTAAAAATTTATTTAAGCTAGAAATAATTAAATAATTGAGAAAATGAAATTTTTTAAAAATGGTTTTTTTTTCTGGATAGGATGCAATCATACAGCTTACTGATTTTTGTAAACGGTGTCTGAGATGGAGGTACTAGTGGTGTTTTTTCGTTGGCTTTTATGAAAGTGGCAAATAAGTAACCGACAGTGTTCGCCAAACTTTAAACCCCTCACAAAGAAAATGTCGCTCTTCCTCAAACAACTAAAGTTATTTGTTATAGTTTCAAACAAATAATTTTAGTTGGCATGTTAAGTTTAATTGTTAATTGCTTATTATGTACACTTTCTTGCAGTTTAATTATCAAGATCTGAAGTGGTCTCAACTCATCAATTTAGTTGAAGAAGATAGTGGATCTGGTGGTTTACGTAAGCTGCACAAAATAAAACACGAGCATCTATACCTCACCCCAAGCTTGAGGATGAAGGTTAAGCTGGCCGTTCAGGTAAATACAAAATGTTAGGGGTGGATTTCAATAAAATTTTATTGATTTTAACTAGTGTCATTGTTTCTTATTTAATCTTTAATCAATAATTTGTCCCTTTAAAACCATTTCTATTAGGCTGCTTAAATATAGCAATCAACAGCGATTGATAAATACTAGAATTTACAATGTTAAGTTATTTTCCATCTATATTGTTTTGTTACAATATAACATTTCTTTTTTATACCTCCATGCCTCCACTAAGGAGGTTATGTTTTCAGCCCTGTTAATTTGTTTGTTAGTTTGTCTGTTGTTTGTTTGTCTGTAAACAGCCTACAGGCCAGTTTTCAACAAAAACTTCTCAAACTTGGTCATAATGATCCATGACAAAAGATCTCAAGGTGATTAAATTTTGAAGGGTTATGTCAAAGGTCAAGGTCACAATTGATGAAAAACTACTTTCTATATATAACAGCCTACAATTTTTATCAGAATCTGTAAACCTTGGTCACAATGTTCATTGACCAACACTCTAAATATGATTGAATTTTGAAGGGACAGGTCAAGGTCACAATCCACAAAAACAACTTCTTATATATACAGTAAAACAGCCTACAGCCAACAATTTTTATCAGAAACTAATCAAACTTGGTCACAATTACACATGACCAAAGACCCTGAGGTTATTAAAGTTTGGAAGGTCAAGATTACAGGTCAAGGTCACAATAGATAAAAAACTAC